GCTGGAACTGGCCTGATTTCAAGTGACCTATTCTGGTGGGCAGGACCCGTGCCCCCCCACACCCCGGGTTGGGGGCGGGGCCCCAGGGGGCGGGGCGGGGCTCCAGGGGGCGGGCTCCAGGAGAGGGACACAGGGCAGGACTTTGTGGGCGGGGCCTGGGGCGAGGCTCTGAGCTGTCGGGTCCAAACCCGGGAAAACCCGAGGCCTAGGCCGCTTGCACCGTCGACCTCGCTGCTTCTTGGCTGCAATGGCCCTGGTCGCCGGCCGACGGGCCTTTGGGGTGAAGGGGACCAGCTGGCTCTGGCGCAGTCGGTGGGCTCCTCTCTCCGCCGGCTTCTGCAGCCCGGCGTCAGCAGTAACAGCGCGGCCGGAGTCGGAGCCACGGCCCACTAGCATGCGACAGCAGGACGGAATCAGGTCAGCCTGAGGACCCTGCCAGGGCCCTCTCCCTGGAGCTGGGCACCAGGCCTCGGGATAAACAGGCCTCGCCGCCACTAACCCTGAGTTAGCAGTCACTGCTTCTCTTTCAGATTTCATCTCGGAAAAACGAAATGTTTGGTGGAAGAATCCTTGCATACCGCTATTACAGGTGTCCCTGCCCTGTGCACGCTAGTACAAAGTACATGTGAGGGTTGTAAGTGAGACTGCCTGGGGGCCCCCTGAACCCCCAGGCCTACCGGGCACAGTCGCCCAGTCACTTCTGAGCATTTCCGCTGGTGTGGGCAGCACAAGCACCCTACCCACTGTTTCCATGGCCTCCAAGAAAACTCATCACAAAAGAGATCCATGGTCCTTACAGACCTCGGCAGGTTCCAGGGTTATCGCAGGCTGAAGTGCGGGGTGGGGGCAGGTCATTAAGCAGGATAAAGGGCACAGCACCCTACTCTCTGCCCTTTTGTGCAATGAGCCTAAAAACCTTAGAAATAAATCAGTGCCCAACCTGGACCATAGAGTAACGAGGACCCTTTCAGGCCTGACCATTTGCCTGGCCAGGATCAGGTTAGGAAAGGAAATGGGTGTCCGTGCGCAAGAGTTACAGACGGAGCTGTTTGTTATCGTCTCCAACTCCAGGAAACAGCCCTTCTCAATCCTAGAAGACCATGCCTAACTTTTTAATCCTCACCCAAACCCTTAGGTGCTCCCCCAAAAGGAGAGAGAGCCAGTCTCTGGCCTTCAGCTTTTTCCACATAATCCCTTCGTCTATAACTCTCTACCCCTCCTGCCTTAAAGGGCTTAGCGCGCGGCTCTGTAGATGCTGGCATGAAGTGCCCATATCTGTCTGTCCCCTAACTCCCTACAGACAACTGTGGGTGGCCACCACAGGGAGGCATTTTGGGTGCTCAGTTAACTAAAGTGTATTTTAAAAAGGGCAATTCTATTCCCTGTGAACTCCTTGCTCATCAACAGAGATAGCGACACTCCCAGAGAAAGCCAGGGGACGGCCCTGAACTGCAGGCCCCACACAGGGGCCTTTCTTTCCAATTTTAAGGAACAGCTGTGCTACTGAAAATATATAATCTGGGTGTGGTATCATAGGCTTGTAATCCCACCATTGTGAAGGCTGAAGCAGGATGATCCTGAATTCAAAGCCCACCAGGACTGTACAGCAAGTTCAAGGCCAGCCTGGACTATATAGGAAGACCAATCACCTCCCCCCCAACCCCCCCCCCAAAAAAAAAAACAAAGTCTGGTCAAATCTGATAAAAAAAAATTCCAGCAAAAGATAGGAGACTGAGTCGTTCAAAATTAAACATGAATCGAGAATTGGAAGGGGGAGATGAGACCAACTGGCCGTAAATCACAGGAATCATGTATTAAAGAGCCCCCAGTCAAGCGTTAGAGCAGTACTAAGCTGGTATGGGAGGTCCTTCTGTCTATGTGTTGGTTAATGAATAAAGAAACTGCCTTGTCCTGTTGATAGGGCAGAACTGAGGTAGGCAGGGGAAACTGGACTAATGCTGGGAGAAGGAAGGGAGAGAGAGAGAGATGCATGCTTCACAGCTGCTTATACAGTATCAGAGAGCGCGCCCAAGTGGGCCCGTGTCTTGAAGGCTATTGGCTGAAGGAGCAGAATGTGCTCCCACAGCACGATGCTAAGCACTAAGCTTGTGCAACTCAGTCACCTCAAGGGTCCCCCTTGAAAGCTGTGCCTCAGAGCAATAAGGCTGTTGTACCATGAGGGCCAGCTACGAAATGAGTGCTGTGTCAGACTCTCTGCGCCGTTTCTAATCACACAGTGACCCGCATCACAGACAGGAGTCAAGTTCTCAGATGGCTGTCAGGAGGCAGAGGAGCCAGGCGCCTGGAAGAGATCCCCTCCGCCTCCTGAGTTGTTGCCACTCATGTGCCACCATGGTAGAGTGGGCCTGTGGGACCACGCCAGTCCGCTACATTCGGTAGAGTTAGCCATGAAAAACTTACTGGTATTTTTACCTTGATGGCATTAGATAGCTCACTGGAGCATTTAAAGGGACCAGATCTTGCCTGCACACATGTCACCTTGTGAGAAACCTCATCAGAAAGACATTTCTCCTTGGTGGTGGCGGCGGAGGAGGGGTGTTGCTGAAGCTCTCGGCTTGAGGCATTCCACACTTGGAACTGAAATAGCCACTGGGAGAGCTGAAACTGATGAGGGGCTTAGGAGGTTTCGTGTCCTGTGAAATAAGAGAGCACTGCATAGCAATGTAAAATGACCTTCGGGCTCTAGCTTGGGAGACTGAGCAGTAGCTCAGAGAGGCCTGAGCTGGGAGAGGAAAAGGTCCAATGCGCATCTCGGTGGAACAGTCCAGTGAGCATCACGGTGAACACACAGATCCAGGGCTTTGGAGAGAGGCTGGAACCAGGGCCAGTGTCAGCATAGAGGGGGCAGCCGATGTCATGGCCACCAGCGAAGTCGCCTGGGCAGCGTGCTCGGAACAAAGAGAGGACATAGGATGGAACTGAGTGTCTCCTGCCAGAGTCCAGGGCCCCTGTAAAAGAAGGCAAGAAGGACTAGAGAAGAAAGAATTGCTCCCCAGAGAAGATGTTTCCAAAGGCGGGGGAGGGGAGGTGCAGTGGTGCGGGTGGCCCGCGCATCTGGTCCTGACAGTCAGGAGATGACCGCTGAGAAGGGTGTCAATAGGCTCGTGGGAAAAGACGTCTGGCATGGCTTAAAATGAGAACTGTCTGACAATGTGTCTGGAAGGATGAAGGGGATGCACATGAAACGTACCACCAAGCAGTAAGGTTCCATCTGGGCTGGAATCTTTTTGTGCAATTTTGCCCAAGGCCTTAGAATTTACTTTCAGCTGATGTAGATGCCAGGGTAGCAGCTTTTGTGTATGTGCGTGTACTCTCGTGTCCATGTGTGTGCAGTGGCATGTGTATGGAGAAGCCAGAAGACCAACTTGAGCATCATGCTGCCTCCCATACTGCCCACCTTTTCTTTTAGAACGGGTTTCCAAAGTCTGTCTCCACCTCCCCAACATTAGGATGCAAAGTACAGGTCACAACGCCCCATCATCAGAAAGAAAGAAAAAAAGTGACTGTTATCTAGGACAGTGAACTATAAGTTTTTCCTTAAATAAATAACCCTTTTATTATTCATTAAAAAAAAGATAGCTTTAGAAATGGAACTCGGGTTCTCACTCTTGCAAAGCAAGAACTGAGCCATCTCCCAGTCTTGACAGCATTTTTATGTTTGCCACCATGAGCACAGTCACGAGTCTACCGAAAGGTTACAAGCAGTCTCCACGGCTTGCACAGAGAAAGGTGTCTGTGTAGCAGCCGATCGGCTGCACGTCATTCCTATACTTAGGAGAGAGGATGTTTATGAGAAACAAGACAACAATCCCACAGCTACCTGGGAGCTGCAGCAAAATTGAAGTGATATCCCAAAAGGAATGATTATTCTTATTGTGCTGAGATCAATTCAGTTGCCAAAGTTTTTTTTCTTAAAAAAAAAAAAAAGTTCTCCTTACATGTTATTTCTGGAGCATCCGATTGACCGTGTACCGATAAAACACCATATTCAGAAAGGAATGAGGAAGGCTGAGAGCATGTGTGGGCGGAGGCTGATGGGAAATAAAACGCCTGTGATGAGAATCTGGTTTGGTTCACTGCCCGTTTCTTAGGACAGCAAAAATAAGACATTTCTACGTAAGGCAGGGAGATGACAATACAGGTTGTTTTATTCTGAATGTGGGCGAGTTTAAAATAGCAAAAAGGCCCTTTGGGTGCCGGCTCTTCGCAAGATGCTGCGTCTGTTGTATGGGTCTGTCCGTCTGCTCTCTGTGTAGCATCTGTTCTCAGACTGCACGAGCTGTCCTGCAGGCTTACCCCACTGGAAACCCTTACAAATGCCGCGGTACATGCACACTGGCAGCCAGGCTCCCCTGCCTTTTCTCGGGGATGGGTGGGAGGAAACGGGAGGGGGGGGGACTTCGTCCTTGGCTCCTTTCCTAACCTCAAGCTAAAGAGGAAGCAAGTTGCAGGTGGAGCCTGTTCATCGGATTCACCTAGCCCCGCCACTGTCACCTGAATCTCACATCCTCTGTGGGCAGAGATGATTTGGGGACTGTTGTGACTCACCCTTGCTGTAGAGGTGGCAGTCACGTTTCTGTCAGTCCTTGTGGGGAGAGGGAAAAAAGAGAGAGCAAAAACAAATCAAGGGAGCAGAGAGAAAAGGGTAGCCTTCCTTCTGGGTCATCTTTTTCCCTTGTTTTGACTCAGCTGTCACTCCAGAGGGCTGACAGGCCCTCTAAATTGGCACTAAGCCCTGGCGGTTCTCTATTCTTGGGTTTCAAAATTGCTCCTAAATTAGAAAGGAATTGCAGGGGTCCTCGCTTGTTTTGACTGGTTCATGACCCCGGGAATATCACATGCTTTTCGCAGGAACATTGTCTTAAGCAATCCCAAGAAGAGGAATGCGCTGTCGCTGGCCATGCTGAAATCTCTCCGAAGTGACATTCTTCACGAAGCCGAGAGCAAAGACCTGAAAGTCATTATAATTGCAGGTATTTCTCTGACGCCTGTCGTCAGTGGACCGCGGTGCCCGCATGAGGTTTCTCAAACCGTGCTGGTGAGCTGGGACTCCCTCTCCTCGCCTCACTGGAGAATGGCTCTGACCCCCTTTGAAGAAGTGAAAACTTCTGTGATACTCTGGGCTTGGTCCTCGTTAGCTGTGGGGACTGTAGCAAAGGCCTTTGCTCAGTGAAATCACGACTTCTCTTTGTCAAAATCAGACAGTCTGGCGGCTGAGGAGATGGCTCAGTTGGTAAGCCCTTAGCCTCACAAGCGCCATGCCCACATAAAAAGCTGAGTTTGGTATTGCAAGCCTATAATCCCAGACATGGGACGGAGAGGGGGGGCGGGCAGTGCAAGACAAAGGCAGGTGACACCCTAGAGCTCGCTAACCATAGTCTAGCCTACTTCGTGAAGAAGGTCCAGGCCAATGAGAGACCCTATCTCAAAGGGAAAATGGGAGGTACCTGAGCAATGGCACCTGAGGCTGTGCTCTGACTCCACACGAATATGCACATATGTACACATGAACACATGCACACAAGATCAAAGAATCAGGGTCGGAACGCAGCTCAGTGATAGAGCACTTGCTAGCACACGCAATCCTCAGAACCACACAAAAATATTAAAACAGAATTTTAAATTAAAAAGCTCAGTTTGTTTATGGACCTTATAAGATGGCTTTAATCACTAATCCCTTCCATAAATCATGGCAGCTAGCAGGTGGGCTGTCGGGACAGCCAGTTGGTTTTTCTCTTCTGTTTGCTGAATCTTGCTCATGCCTATATCTGTAGTGTCGTCTTTAATGGTGCCAGAAAGTACGCCCTGTTTTGTCCATTTCTTCCATCCCTTTTGCCAGTAGGGTTTATTTTTTAACATGTGTGGTTGCTTTGCCTGTGTGTGTGTCCATGCACCTCTTGTATGCCTGGGGCCTGCAGAGGCCAGAAGAGGGCGTCAGAGTCCCCAGAACGGGCCTGACAAATGGTTGTGGGTGCTGAGATTCAAACCCAGGTCCTGTGGAAGAGGAGACAGAGATCTCAATTGCTGAGCCATTTCGCTAGCCCCTCTCTCTACTAGAAATTCGGAGGGGTGGCCAACCACGTTAAAGCAATTACTGCTCCAGCAGAAGGCCTGAGTTTGGTTCCCAGAGCTCATGTTGGGTGGCTCACAATAGCGCCCCCAATAGCGCTAAGTCCTGGAGATCCAATGCCTCTGACTCCAAAGGCACCTGCGCTCACATGCACATACCCACACAGACACGTACACATAATTAAAAGTGAATAAAATCACCACTTCGTACATACTGCAACGGCATGATAAAAATCACACCGGTGCCTTTGCGCACCCCCAGAAAAATACAACACATCCTGTTTGCTGAAGCTTTGTTTGTTTCAGCATCGCTGTATCCTGAGATACTCTGAGCGACCTTCTTAGCAATGACCAAATAGGAATTTTCAGTTGTTTCATACGATGAAAGGAAAAAGAAGTTGGAATTACTCACTTGCAGCAGGCACATGCGGCGTAAGCTGGACACAGCAAAAAGGCTGCTAACGTCTGAGCGACACCACTTTCTCGCTTGTGAAAACAGGATAACATTGCCTGTCACACGGGAAATGGGAGGAAATGTTCTCAGCTTATCAGCGGAGCGACATTTTGTTGTTAGGGATAATGACGGGAGCCACAGCCTCAGCTCCTTTCTGTAAAATCAAGAGCTAGAGCCAGGTGGCTCCCATGTTTCTCTTCACACTCTGACCTACCTGGATGATGGGGGCAATGCTGAAAGCGTGACAGAGTCCAAAGGACCCGCACAAGTCGATACACTTAGGCAGACTGAGCGCAAAAATAAAGTCATCAGACCAGACACAGCTTCATAAAAATCGCTGATCCCGGAATCTCCTTGTGCCGTTGCGTTTGCCATTTTGCCACCTCTGATTGTTGACTTTTTTTCTTTTCTCAATTGGAAACGCTCACAGCTGAGGGCCCCGTGTTTTCCTCTGGGCATGATTTGAAGGAGCTGACAGGTGCACGAGGCCGTGATTACCACACTGAAGTGTTTCAGACCTGTTCTGAGGTAAGCAAAGAGCCAGCCGGCATCGCAAGCACGGGAACCACCGTTGTGTTAAACACTGAAGCAGTCTTCTAGTTTCAGATGGGGCTGCTCTAGGGAATGGCCATCAAAAGCTCTGTAGTTATTGGTGAGTTCTTCATCCAAGCAATTGTTTGGTTTCTACCAGCAGTTACCGACCTTGGGTCGTGAACCCTTTGAGAGTCAAATGATTCTTTCACAGATACCACAGATACCCTGCATATCAAGCATTTACATTACGATTCATAACTTGCAAAAATACAATTATGAAGTAGAAACAAAAATTATTTTTTGATTGGTGTCTCCACAACATGAGGGACTGTATTGAAGAGCCACAGCACGAGGAAGGTTGAGAGCCACTGGTTTAGACTTTTAAGAAGTGACCGTAGGGGCCAGAGAGATGGCTCAGCGGTGAGAGCATTTGCTGTGCGATCATGAGAGCCTGCATTTGGATTCCCAGCATCCACGTGAAAAACTGGTCGTGGCCACACACATCTGCCAACAGAGGAGACTCCTCAGGGTTTGCTGCTGCCAGAGTAGCCAAAGACTAGTGAGCTGGGGGTTCAGTGAGAGACTCTGTCTTGAGGGAGTGGACAGACGGGTAGAGCAGGACGCCAGCCTCCTCCAGCCCTTGCATGTGTGTGTGTGTGTGTGTGCACGCACACCTTCCTGAATTGCTTGTGTTTTGAGATTGGTTTCTCAATGAAGCTAAAGCTCAAGGGTTAGGCTAGTCTGGCTGGGCAGTGAGCATCCGGCATCCTCCTGTCTCCACCTCCCCAGCGCTGGGCATTTCGGTGCATTGCGCAGGACTTAGTCCTGGCTGACCCATCTCCCCTGCCTCTCAGGTACATTCTTGAGCACAGGTTGTTTCCTTTGCCATTCAAAAAGCCCGTAAGAAGATCAGATCATGATCTTCTCATTTCATGGGAAGACGAATGGAAAAGAGATTCTTTTTCAGTTTTATGGAGGAGTAGAAACAAAGTAGAGCTTGGACGCAGGGTGCTGATTGTTTTAGAAACAGGGCCTCAGGTAGCTCAAGCTGGCCTTGAAGTTGCTGTACCGCCAAGTCTAGTGTGACCTCCTGATCTTCCTGCCTGTACCACCCAGGCACTGGGATTATAAGTGTGCTTCACTTACCTGACAGAACAAAAAGATTTGGATCTTTTGTTTCCTACATTAGCAATGTTTGCACAGTATCCTATTAGGTTTGCCAGTGTTTGATGCTTTCAAAATCGTTTTCCACTAGGGATGGAATTCAGTAGTAGAAGATCTACCTAGCATGTAGAAGACCCTGAGTTCAATCCACCACACTGAAAAAAAAAATCATTTTCTACCAATTCCCAGTATATTTGGCTAAAATAGAAAAATATCTAAAGAAACTAGTATCTCCCTTTTAACTTCCCGAGAGCACCTGCGTTTTATCAGTCTGCTGCAGTATCTGGGTGGACAGAGACCTGAACAGGTTAGCAGAGTGCTGTGTGGCACTCTGGAGTTCTTCAGGAGGTAAAGGCCTGGTTTCTTGGAAGCTTCTAACCCGTTCATGCCTCCAGCTCATCAGAAACGACTCAGTGAATAAATAGGACTTAGTCCTAAACATCAAACAAGAATGCAAGGATACTGGTTCCTTTGGATATTTCTCTTTATTATTTTTAATATGTATATGTGTGTGGAGGGGGCATGTGCCCACAGAAACCAGAGGCTTTGGACCCCCTGGAAGTGGAGTTATGGGCAGTGTGAGCCAGTATTAGTGCTGGGAACCGAACACAGGGAGAGCAGCTCAAGCCTTTAGAGGCTGTGCCGGCACTCTTGCCCGGAGCGCTGTGAAACTCAGACCGTCGCGTCCTCGTGTGACAGAGCAGACTAGAGCAGGACGAGCGAAGGTCCGTGCACAGGTAGGTGGATTCCAAGAGGCAGAGAGAGAGATCTGCCTCCGCTTAGCCTCTCCAAGCTGGAGTGCATTTGTTACACCACAAGTACTGCTGACAGCCAGTGTTTTCCAGCCGGGAGGAGGACAACCAACAAGAATGTGAAGAGTTAGTTGTGGAAGAGCCTCAGTGACTTCCTGGGCACTGATGTGGTGGCCCAGAGGATCATTACTTGTCTTTCTTCTTCCAACACTTTGACAACTGGATGTCTTTCCCCGAAGAGTCTTCCTTTCTCCCAACTCCTCACCAATAAAACGGGAGTGGATTGTTTTAGAAAATAATGTGGGGAGAAAAAAAGCAAACCATGGGGTCCCTCGGTTATGCTTCCCATGAGGCTAGGGCAGAGCGCAGTGGACGCCCCTTTCGGAGTAGGCGGAACTCAAAACCGTACTTAGCTCAGGAAGATTGGAAAGATGGTGTCAGTTCTTGACTCCCGTGGGTTTGATTATCCTGACTTTTTTTTTAAATCTAAGTTCCCTTTGTCTTTTATGAACTGCCCTCTGATTTGATTTAAAATATTTTGATTGATGAAAATAAGTATGTATTGTAGAAGATTTTTTAAATTTAGAAAACAAAAGATACTCTTACCATATTATAACCACCAACCCAGAGAAGAGTGTTGTCTTTTGCCATATTCACTTTTAGTGATTTTTTTCCTAAGTTCATAATTGTTTGGATGCTCTTATATAGGTATGATTACAGTATACAGTTGTGTGTGTTACATGATTATAACTGGATGGTTAGTAAGCCAGGTAGCGTTTTATGATACACTCCAGGTTTGCTAATGTATGTAACCGTCGTGTTGTGTTAGGTTAGAGCTGATATTACACCACAGTTAGTGCTGTGAAAACTGAAGGGTCATGTGGTCTGTTCAGAGCTCTCAGGTAGTGGGGGACAGACTGCATCCTAGCGGGCTTGCTCCATATCGCTACACAAGCCCTAAACCACACAGATGTTCTGTTTTCCTCCTTAGAAGCGATCCTTTCACGAGACTGCTGCATTTCCAAACTGGCGCAGTGTACGCAGGCCCTGTGCGTGTCAGGTTCACATCATCATACAGAAATAACTGAGGCAAAGAACTTACATCTTTACAATTGAGTTCTGAGATTCAAATTTAAGATTTGGCAGCTTGGGGCATGGCATGGTGGTGCATGCTTTTATTCCCAGCACTCAGGAGGCAGAGACAGGTGGAACTCTGTGAATTTGAGGCCAGCCTGGTCTACATAGTGAGTTCCAGAGCAGCCAAGACCACACAGAGAACCCCTGCAGCACGGTGTCCACGTCACTGAGTGATGCATTGCACTTCAGCATCCGCTGCACCTTCGCACCCCTTGGAGCCACGCCTCCTCACGCTCAACACTGTCCTGTAATGTTAGGCTGAGTGGTGACTCAGATGGTGGGAATTATCAGTCCTGTCTTAATCTCATGCCATCCTCAGGAACTCTAGCCCCCATTTTGAGACAGCATCTCTCCTGGGCCTGGAGCTCCCCATTAGGGTAAACCATCTGGTCAGTGATGGCCAGGGATCCTCCTGTCTCTGCCTTCCTGGTGCTGGGGTTATACGGATGGCTCCCATGCCAGGCTGTGTGTGTGTGTGTGTGTGTGTGTGTGTGTGTGTGTGTGTGTGTGTGTGTGTGTTTTACAGGGGATTGAACCAGGACCTTACGCTTGTGAGGCAAGCACTCACTCTGACATCACAACCTTCTCGCACCACCCTCATATACAGTTTGAACTTGACCAGAAACATCATTGTGTCGTGCCTGACTATATAGCTGGTTATTTAGGGTGGGGAAGATGACAAACACCAAATGCTTATGAATATAAAAGACAAGTTTCGCAGGCAAAACTCTTCAAATCTGTGAAGGTCGTTTTTCTTTCAGCTACTGCCTTGGGGAAAAGCCCAGATGTCGTTCCTATCTTCCCCTCCCAACTTGCCAAGGTTCAAAGAGCAATAATTTAGAAATCGAAGTTGCCATGACAACACAATCTGTTTAGAGTGTCATGAAAAAAATAAGCTTCAAATATGTTAGAGCTCTGACCGTTTATGTGGCGGGGGTCACACGAACATGACTTTGTCTCTCCTCTCTGAGCCAAGGGCTCTGTCTCAGGAATTTTGCTTATTCTTATGACAGTAGGGTGCCCCCTCCCCCACTTTGGTGGCATTGAGAGAGGACGCTGTGCAGCAAGGTAATTTGAGGAGTAATTACTAAGGAAATTGCCTTCCAGTCCCCTTCCCCCGTAATTCTCCAAGCAGACACCAAATGCCAATTTCAGACTTTTAACACCAGGGCTGCCCAGAGGTGCGGAGAGCTGACAGTTGGTGGAGGAGTTTGCTTGCTCCCCAGAAACAAAACCCCACAGTTCTCTGTCGGGGTGCTGGGGAGGCAGGAGGCACAAGGAGATGGTGGGCCACCACGCCTTAAGTCAATGAGCCTTTACCCATTCAGCTTCATGTTCTTGTTACTTTTTCTCCAAAAAAAAAAAAAAACTCTCCGAGTCTATTTCATCATGGAGACGCAGTGCAAGCTGAGGGTTCGTGCTTTTCCCGAGACTCCCGTAACTAGTGCAGGAGAAACACACTCCGTGGAGTCAGTCATGTAACGCGGCAGGTACACAGCTCTTCATGGAAATGAAATGGGTGTGTTTGTCCTACAGGTCATGATGCTGATTCGGAACCACCCGGTCCCCATCATCGCCATGGTCAATGGCTTGGCCACAGCCGCCGGCTGCCAGCTTGTTGCCAGCTGTGACATTGCTGTGGCAAGTGAGAAGTCCTCTTTTGCCACTCCTGGGGTCAATGTCGGACTTTTCTGCTCCACCCCCGCGGTTGCCCTGGGGAGAGCCGTGCCCAGAAAGGTAACTGAACTGCCTCTCTGTACTCACAGGTTGCAGAGTAGCTTAGGGAAAGTACCCCCGAGGGGTTGGGGAGATGTTTGCCACACAAGCGTGAAGAC